TACTAAGTATTATAAACAATGTTTATTCATTTATTAGAAGATAAGAGAGATATGAGTATACATTGAAAAAGAGGAGAACAGAAAAGAAACAAAACGACACAATATACAAAAAGTAACAGGTAAGAACAATCATATATGAAACAATACATAATTAAGTGTGGAACACGAAGTGGATAAATAGAATATATAAGCTACGAACACAATATAAAAACAAATAATTACAACATATATCTTTAACATAAATAAAAAGGGATAATGAAGAGAAAAATAATGATATACAATGTCAAACAAATACAATAATAGAACAATCAATAAATATTCCCACGAGCTGGGACAACACGAAAGAATAAAAAAAAGGCTTCAGTTTGCGGTGTGATTTCTGGATTTCCCTCTTCGTTTGTAAGTCCAGAGCGTCTAAATTTTTATTTGTTCCTTTTCTTAGCACTGGTTTTTCATTTTCATTCATCCACCTTTTCGTATTTATTTCGTAATTCTTCGCGTGCGGTGCTGGGGCTTCAACGCGCGCGCCGCGCCGTCTGGACTGCCGGGCGCGGCCCTTGCGCTATGGCCGCACCTGCAACGCATTTGCTTTGCCCTCGGGCACAACCCGCAACACAGCTGATGTCTCCATTGGGCCTCCCCCCACCCTGTCCCCCCGTCTCTCCCAACATACTTTTTATATAGAGAGGCAAAAAGGGGATATCTAAGGTGCAGAGGCAACGCGCGCGGCGACTAAAACGCATTCTAAATAAGGCACTGCTCTTCCCCTGCGAGGGAGGCTGACAGACAGACGGACGGATTTACGACTTCGCCCTGCACCCACGGGCCGCACCCGCAACGCAAGTGCCTCTCACTCGAACCCGACCCGCAACACAGAGATTTCCTTCGACTGGTCCTCCTCCTCTCCCCGTCCCCCGCGGGCCTCCTCCTCTCCCCCTGCCGCACACTCCCTTGTAGTCTCCTTGATGCCCTGTCCTTTCGCCCATTTTATCCCGTCTTCCTGTCCGCCGTCGTCTTCGGACACCGTGGCTGCGGGGCGACCGTATGTGACCCCGCTTCGGATGCCGCCACGAGGCACCAAACTACCAAAGCACCTCCTCACTCCTCGCCCGAACGAGGCGGCAATTGAAGGGAAATCATCCCTCTTGCGGGTGACCTGACCTTGCCGCCAGGACGCGAGGTGGTCGAGGAAAGGTGACGGCGCGCTAGACTGGCAGAGACTGAAGAGAGGGCAGCATGCTGATTGTGAACGCCTTTATCAGGTCATGTATCCCGTGCTCGTGCTAACTTAATCGCGCGTGTTATGACCTCGTGGATGAGTGACCTCGTGTGAAATACCGAATAATAATAGTGCGCAGCGTATTTATAATATGATAGTGAACGGTAGTGAAAAATCGCGAAGGATATCGTGTTAGTTTTTTTGATTTGTTTATTTGTTTGTGGTGTAATTGTTCGTTTGTAATGTACGTTTTCGTTAGTATTGTATGTTTTTTGTGATTTTTCTCTTTTTTCTTGTCTACGTTTTATTACTCATACAAATGAGTGATATCGAATTATTATTTTCCTTTTCTGAACTAATTGACCAAAACTAAATCTCATAATAGGGAGCAAAACCTGCTGGAGAACTGTTGCCTCAAAAGAATCGGCCAAAATCGCCATTTTTATTATCAATGTTCGGGACATCCAGTCGCGTGATGGCGGCTACCATAGTTCTATTTATCTAAGTCATCCTTGCATGTGGACAGAAATATCATGGGAAACGCTACACACTCCCTCCCTCCTGCTGCTGCTGCGTTGAAGGCTCCAGTCACCTTTAGGCCTACTTGGACTTCCGCCTATTCTAGATATTCGTAGAAAGGGACATATTTATCAACCTTGTTCCTTGCTACAGATGTTACAAATACGATCACCTCGTCAAAGATCGGAAGGAGACGGACACTTACAAAGCTTGTTCCGAATGTGCCTCTAATGATCACACGTACAAGGATTGCAGGGAAAACACGAAGAAAAAAAAAATGCTTAAACTGCAACGGTAACCACTGAACACTTGCCGCTAAATGCCCAACACGAAAAACAATCATCAAAGAAGAACGAAAGAGCCAAGGCAAGCAGAGAGAAGAAAGATCACCGCTGACACATCCCGCCAAACCTACGCGGTGGCAACAGCAGCAACTACCAATTATAATGGAGCAAGGAACAATGGAACTGCCACCTCCAACGCGGAAACGATGCTAAGTTCTCTCCCACCGAACGCAGCTGCATAATGAGTGCGATATTATTTGCATAGACTCAGGAAGCCAGAGAACCAGGCAGCTTCCAGAAAACAATAGATAAGATGTACTCCCTAAACAAGAAATGGTATCAAAAACGAGAGTCGGCAACAAATAATACACAACGAGAGGAAATCAACGAAGAGGAATATCGTTCACCGCCACCAATCGACCAGCATCCACATCATCAAAATCAAGAGGACCTTCAAGAGAGACGAGATGTCACGAAGGCTGAAGAGTTCAGATTACACCGACTGCCAGAAATAAGACTTCGGGCGAGAGAGGAAAGCATTGGATACATCCCTAGACGATCTACACACAATGATCAAGTCAAATTAATGCAGTCAAATATCATTAAATTCACATACCTCCACCAAGATATATTTGATGACCAGCTTATCAAGGATAACACACTAAACAGGACTATTGATCTCACTGCATACAGAATACAGTACGTCAGTAATCAAGCCTGCGACAGAATTGTTAATGGAACGAGAGCAGAGAAGCAGACTGCCAGAAAATCCTCTACAGATCCTGACATTATATAATCTTACACTATGACCATAAATAGATACAAAAGAATTCAACACAATGTCCTAAACTGGCGTACAAGAAATCATGAACTGTCAAACATGTATTTGAACAGAAGACCCAGACGCAATATTAATCAATGCCCGCTGTCTACAGAATGATGGAACTATTAAGCTGTTTGGGTACAATGTTTACCAAAGAAACATTTTGAATGAGGGAGACGCCGGAGTTGCAATTGCTGTGAAAAGAAACATAAATCAGAGTCATCGATGATTTTACAGAAGATTTTCTCGCAGTAGAACTATATACAGACCGAGGAAGCTTTGTTCTCGGGACGGCGTGCATGCCACCCAGACGACCCCAGTTCCCATACCCGGACATCATGAAAATCACGAGAAGGAACATTCCGGCTTACATAATAGCCGACCTAAATGCCCGACAGCGCTCACTCGGACAAAGTAATAATAATCTAATGGGCAGCGAGTTGATTAACCTGATCCACCGCAACACAATCACCCACCTTGGACCAGACTTCGACACTTTCGTAAGTGCGAGAGGGAAAGGAAGACCTGACATCATATTGGGAAATAGAAATATACACATGAATTATGCCATACAAGAAGGCCCACCAACAACATCGGATCATATTCCTATTACCTTCACCCTGACGACGTCACCCACCATGATCCAGCAAGCAAAAATGTTTGACTACAAAAGGGCTGACTGGGAACAATTCACAAGAGAAATAGAACAACATATGGACCAACCTACAGGAGAAGAGCTCACAGTTAATAGAGAATATGTAGACAGTAAAATCGATAGCTGGTATGCAACGACTGAAAATGCAATGAACGAAGCAATCCCCAGAAAAATTACATAACTGCCTCACCCCTTGACAAGCGACCATCTTAAGCTGCTAACATGGAGGTACAGAAACATTTTAGACATAAAAGAACATCTTGGATGGACGCCTCTTCTACGCACCCAATATAAGCAACTCAAGGAAGAAATGAAGGAGGAAAGCGAAACATTAGCCACAAATCACTGGAACAAACTTATGGAGGAAACAAATAGAGTATAACAACCCCAAAAAGTTCTGGAAAAAAGTAAAACGACTAGAGGGAAGCAACAGTAAAGAAACACCATACATCTTAAACACCAATAATGAGAAAATATCAGACGACCAAGTGAAGGAGGAGGATTTTTGAAGATTCTGGAAAACGTTTTTAAAATCAACGATGAAGATAACCGCAACTTTGATATGCAACACGAAGCTATGGTACAAGACTACCTCACAAATAAAGGACACAGACTTCTCCCCCACAGAAAAGCACAAGCAATCAAACTTAACAATGACAACCCTCTCACAAGACCCATCACAACAGGGGATATCAAGTCTATAATTAAAAACTTTAAGGACAAAGCCCCCGGTCAAAGAGGCGTGAGAAAGACTGTAATGCAGCGTCTCCCGGATGTTCCCATTGCAGAACTGAAGACAATGTTCAACTGGGCTCTTTCAATGGGCAATTTTCCAACAAAATTCAAAAACGCCACCATGGTCCTAATAACAAAAGCAGGGAAAGACCCCAGAAAAGTTGAGAATTATAGACCAATATCCCTATTAGAAATACCTGGTAAGATCTCCGATGCGGCCGCGTGAAACTCCACTCGATCCAGCCTTCCTCAGGCGTCCGTGAGGGTCGTCGCTCTCGTGCAAATGGCTGAGGAGCACGAAGCCGGAGGGCGCTGTGCTCGCCAACGACGTCTCTTCCGTTGCGGGGAGTGGGGCTGGTAGTCGGCGGGCGCGACTCTGCTTCTGCGCAGAGGAGAGGGGGCGGAGAAGGAGAGGGGAGGGAGGGAGCGGAGAAGGAGAGGGGGAGGGAGGGGAGGGGGAGGAGGACCGTGGGAAACAACCCTGGCGCCGCACAGTCTGGGTGGTGTAAGAAAACTACAAATTCGTTTTTTTTTTCTCAATTTCTTTCACTACTAATAGATCTGTTTGGGTGATTTCGTTCATACCTTGCATTTGAAAAGTAAAAGTGGGAAATTGAAAATCCGAGCCAAGGATAGCATTTCAGATGATAAAGAACGTGAAAAATGTAGGAACCCGAGAGAGGATTCGGCCTCGGATGATTCGACACGGCGTTGCGCGAACGAACGAGCGAGTGAACCCGCTTAAACGCACGAACGACCAGTAGGACCGCCATATGAACCAAAAATCCCTCCTAACCCCTTCCCGTCCAACTGGCCTGCACGAGATGGACGAGCAGCTCCGAACGCAGCATTAGCGCGACTTCGTGAAAGGTTTTCTCATAACTCTGAATGAAGGGGGTTGCTATCCTGCTTAGGAAGAGGTGTTTATCATTGTTTATTAATCATCATCATCTTCACCACTGTTGTCTTTTCCTTTTCCGCCTTCTTCTTTCCTTGTCCTCCTCTTTGCCTTTTGGGGGTGGCGAAGCTGCGGAGAAGAAAAGGAAAGAGCGAAAAGGCAGATTCATCGGAGGAAGAAGGAATGCTCGGGGAGAGGGACGCGGAGGCAGCCACGCGAGGTCACGGCGGAAGGAGCAGATGAGATGCTTTTCCATGGGATCGTTGAATGTTACACCATCTTTTTCTCTCTCTCTCCTTCCTCCTCACTCACCTCTTGTTATTCCGTCTACCTCCCCCTCTCCCTCTCTCTCTCTCTCTCTCTCTCTCTCTCTCTCTCTCTCTCTCTCTCTCTCTCTCTCTCTCTCTCTCTCTCTCTCTCTCTCTCTCTCTCTCTTCTCTCTCGCTCTCTTTCTTTCTCTCTCGCTCTCTTTCTTCTCTCTCGCTCTCTCTCTCTCTCTCTCTCTCTCCTCTCTCTCTCTCTCTCTCTCTCTCTGGGGGGGGTGTTGGAGGGGAAGGCTGGGGGCGGGGGAGCGGAGAAAAATAGGAAGTAAAGTTCGCATCAATGTAAGTTTAAAACAAAGCGAAAGATCATATACTTCCGTGTAGTATGGATTCAGCCAAAATTACAAAAATAAGGTACGCTTGAAACATCACATTATTCAGGAAAAAAATAGTTAATCTAAAAAAGATGATTTAAGAGAAGAAACGATAAGACGAACACAACGGAGGAAATTACTTCCCGAATACAAAAAAATATATATTAAGGTGATATAATATTTTAAAAAATATTAAGGTGATAAAACCCGGTGATTTCCTAATAACTGTTTATGACGGGCTCTTTGCTACGGTAGACGCTGTTTTCGCTAAGCTTAAAAGGACAACAGTTGTGAAGAGAGATAGGGGGAGGGGACGCGAGAAAGAGAAAGAGAGAGAGAGGAGGCGATGCACAAGCCAAAAGCAACCCGTCCTTTAAGTCTCTATTTTCCCCAAAGAAGCAACGAACCAAACTGCTGACCTTAATCAACCAAGTTTTTATAAGTGTAAAGAGGAAAATGTCAAAATATATCATCGCTTCTTCTAAATCTGCAATATGTGAAAAATAGTGCTTTGGTTTTCATTAATTTTCTTCTACAGAGTAAGACGCCCAACAGCACGCACTCACACCAGAGATCGTGCAAGAAATGCTGTCTTGGATCTAATACTTTGCACGTTTGACCGTTTCCGTTGCGTGTGAAGGACAACGCTTCATGATGGACACGAAATTTCATTTTCGAAATGCTGTTGACCTCGATAGTGTCAACGTTGACACTAAAGGTAGCTGAGGAGCCATCTAATCACAGACTATGTTCTCTACTCGACTGCTGTTGCATAAAACCCTCCCCCAACCCACCCCTATTGTCCCTCGTTACCGTGGCCGAGAGGGTAAGGGCGGCAGGTTCGAAACCCGCGATCGCGAGTTCGAATCTGCAAAAGGGAGCCAAAAGCGCTCCCTCTGATTGCAACCTCGCCCGGGGCTGAAAGACATGGAAAGCCCCGGGCACAACAATTAGAAGACGCCCGCCGGTTGCAGTCATTTTTTCCCTATTGTGTATTTTTATGTATATATTTGTACTCATCTGTGTTCGAGTGGGCTTATAGTGCACAATCTCCCATGCTGCTA